TCATGATCAAGCTGGACCCCGATGGCAATCCTGTGTGGGCTCAGGGCTTCGGAGGCAATAACGACAACGTCGGACGAGGTATTGGTGTGGACGTATCGGGCAGCTCGTACACTACCGGTTATTTCGAAGGAACCATGACGGTGGGTAACACCACCCTCACATCTGCTGGCTCGCAAGACATTTTCATGATCAAGCTGAACACCGAGGGTCTATGATGTAGAAGTTTTTGGAAAAAGATCGCTGCGAATCACCGAAAGATATTACTGAAAATTATCAGCCATTGTTCTTGAATTGGTTAGGGTTACCAGGGCAAGCAAGAACAAACTGCAACCTCGGGGCAAATCCTTTCCGCCAGGGCTTATGCTACTGCGGATAAGTTCATAAATCTCTGGAAAGAGGGGTTCCATGACATTTCTAAGATTAGGCCTCGGGAGGATCAACCTTGGACTTACTTCCTTGCATGGCACAAATCACTTCAACCCTGTGCTATTGCTCCACAATCGATGAATTTCACCCCTATACACTTTCTGGAAACTTTCGCAGGTCAGGAATTATTACCTAGTTGACAAGTTATTTATATAAAAGTGCCGCTAACGCTAAAGTATCGGTACCGCAATGTGATGAATTTCCGCTGTCAAAGAATGTACATCCCTGGAATTCCATCCTGCGTAGCTAGATGAATATCTTCCCCTCAAAACTTTCGAAGATCGCGAGAATCCTCACCATGGTTTGATGCAAGTCACTCTCATTGGTTTCGGGCTTGTCACTCAACTATGAGAGCGTACTTAATCGACCACTCCCATTAGAGGTAGAATTTCCGGGATATCATTACTCCATGAACACAAAGAATTACCTTCGCAAACATTTTTCGAAAAATCTTGTTATTTGATTTGGTATCGTACACTTGAACTTTTAAAAAATACAAAGGCATCATGTCGGCGACAAAGAAAAAAAGGCAGAAGGAATAGGAGGAACAGGATTTTTCGGTGGATGAATTGCAAAGGTCTCCTAACTTCTTGCAGGTAAAAATATTCAGAGACAAGGGCGGAGGTGCAATTCAATGCCATGCATTGAGATTAGTAAGCGATATATTGCAGATGCTCGACTCATATATTGGCTAGGTCCCTTCTTCTTGGACTGACGCAAGCAAGCCTCATTCTTCATGGTGCGGTATTATTCTCACGTATCAATGGGAGTCCCATGGTAACGGATCTGGATAAATGGTACTCTCGCAGTACTCCAAGAGGGGAGCGACTTCAGGGCAGGAAAAGGTGTAAGGTATAGTTCGCATGAAAGGATAGCGCTCTGCGTGTTTTTCTTGAAGTTTTTTTGAGTTGCAGCCGTACGGATCGGATTCAAAAAGTTTAACAGCTTCATTAAGTTCCTGATATAAAAAGAGGAAAATAGAAGATTCGAGATCACGACACGGGGAACTAAGGACGCAGAAAAGATCATGACAAAGCACGAGCCAAACAATGCGTTATCCCCACCCGAGACCCGTACCCCTTTTTCTGCTTTCTTATGGTCGGACTTCCCCCCTATTGGCGGGTCCACGCCCACAAAGGCAAAGCGACTATCGGGAAAACGCAAAGCGGCACGATGATGAAATCGGAAGCGTTTTTGCTTAAAGGCAAAAGACACGACTGAGATGCGTGTCGGATAATGGTCAGTATACTCCTATGTGCCAGGCTTATCAAAATTGGATGGATGTGAATCAATGGGAATGCTCTGGATGTGCTAAATGACATATATGGACGGATAGGGGAGTCTTTAAATACATGTAAACTTAGTGGGTGGGCGCTTCACCCGCAAAAATGTATTTTTTTCTGCAAAGCTTTTTCAGATCGTTACATATTATGCCCTCCACTGCTTCCATTTTGTACATATAGACAGAGTGTGTCGCACGTGAGATCTTGTGGCCAGATTTTTGAAGCCCTCACGAATTAACTTCATTTTCCCTAATTTTCTCACCTTGAAGCGACATATCGAGTACAAGAGGTTCTCGAAAGAGTCCAAAGCGTAGTCTTCCGTTAGGGCCCGCTTTTTCACGTCGGACGGAGAGGATGCAGAATCCCACCACTAATGCATGGGGAAATTGAGTAATATTTTACAGCAACTGGCCGCTGAATACTCGACAATACCCGTCTTCCCCAGCACTAGAGACACAACATGCTTTGTGGGCCCTCCGACAGACAGCATCAGGAGGGCTCAGCCTCGTACTGCCTCCTGCTATTGCCGAAGAAGAGGAGAGCGAGCAGGAGGGCCCAAGTATGGTCCGCGGGCAGTCATTGTCGGCCGCCATTGACGAAGTTAACGGCTTCATGTCACGGAGAGCCACAAGCACCTGGAGATGCTCTCGCACCCTTGCTTCGGGGGGAAATCAGCCATACCTCACCTCCTCGTCTCGTCTTTCGGGTCCACTTTTCCCCCTCTCGCAGAGGCATCCCGGGGGGGCGGAGGGTCGTGTCAATTTGGCGCCTGGCATTGGCAGCAGCACCGGCTCAGGGAGAAGCCCAGAAGCCCGAGAAGGGCACGATAGCAAGGGAACAAAAGTGGTGGAAGGAGAGCGCGTGACGACCTCAGCTACTCAGGAAGAGGAACAGCGTTTGCCACATGACAGCCCCAGTCTGCTTCGAGCCTCGCTCTTGAGTAAGGCCCCAACGCTGTGGTCAGCATGGGAGCGTCTGGGGTGGACGATAGGCGACTACTTCATGTCATTGGTGGTCTTTGTTACCATTTCCATCACGTGGTGGCGGGGCGCCTGGAACCTCCTCGACTACTACGTCTTCCCCACCCACCGGGCCCTCCGTGCTCTTGCCCTGACCCTCGCGGGCATGACTTTTAACGTCCTGGGCTTTCTCTGCTACCCCTCCCT